CCAGCATCGACTGCTTGCCGCCCTGGAGAGCCTCAAGTCCGAGCACGGCGTCGTCGTCATCGTCGTCCGAAAGCGTGTGCGAATCGAGCTCGGACGGATCCAGATGGAAGGTGCGTTTGCCCACCCTTCGCCCGCCGGACCGCGTGGCAGAGGGAGTCAACAGCCCGCCAGCACCCATCACCACCTCGCGCGGCGGACCAGGTACGTCCTCGCTATCGCTCTCTGCACCAGCTGCACCAGCAAGCTTGCGCGACGGCGTCGATGGTTCGTGCGCCTGCTTTGGAGCAGGAACACTGATGCCGTTTTCGTCGAGCCAGAGCTGGTGGAAGCGCGCGCATCTCTCGCGTAATCGCCTTGCCACCTCGGCCTTTCTGGTCTCCAATCCGTTGTTCCACATGGCGACGACCGACATGCCCTCGCGCGCCTTTGCTGCGCCGAGCGAGCTGCGCACCTTGGGCGAGCTGGGCGTGGGCGACTCTGCGCCCACCTTCCTGCGTGGCGAGCCCAAGAGTGGCGACATCAACTGCGTCCTCGCGCTGGCAGCAACGCGCTCGCCGCCCGCGGGGGGAGGCGTGGTCGAGCGCGCGGGCATCTTGGCAGTGCCCCTCACCGTGTCGTCAAAGTTGTCGGCTGAAGCCAGCAGCGGAGACGACTGGACTTCCACGCCGCCGAATCCGATCTGTGTCGGCGGCGTCTTTTCGCGCACGGCGCGCTTGATCTCGAGCTCGATGCCGATGCCCCAATCGAGCGCGCGGCGACCGGTGCGCGTGTCGATGCTGCGTGTCTTTCCAATGATGAAGCCCAGCCCGCGCACTTCGTCAACAGCGTCGCTGCTCTGGCGCTGGAAGTCGAGCCAGACATTGGCGAGGCGTCGCAGCTCCGTGGGGCCCAGGCGGCGGCCACCGGAGCGCTCGACGAGCGGACGCAGCGCCGTGTACGAGATGAGGTTGGGCAGCCGCACCGTCTTGGTCGCCTTGCGTCTAGCGCCGAATGCGGCGTTGGATTCCGAGTCGCTATCCGATGAGGTCTGGACGGACGATTCGAGCGTGGCGCTCGCGCAGCCCGCGGTGGCGAGGTGGACGACCAGCGCGTGCTCCAGCGCCACATGCAGCGTCATGAGACTCGAATAGAACGATGGCAGCGGCAGCTGCGTCGACAGCGCGTGCTTTGGCTCGGGCAGATCAGCCTCGTCAGCGGCGCGGTCGGTCTCGCTTTCCACCTCGCTCTGCGACGACGACACGGCGGCAAGGCTGGAAAAGGGACCGGTGTGGAAGAGGTCCTTGTGCTGGCGCTGCGAGATGCTGGTTGCACTGCTGGATGACGGGATGGATGCGCCACGGAAGACGGCGGCTGCTTTCTGTGTGGCGAGTGGGGGCAGAGGGACACCTTTGGGCCTCTGCCTCACGCTGCGCGGGGTGATGTACGAATCGTCGTCCTCGTCTACGATGCTGCGCAGAGCCTTGTCCTTGGGCGTATCGCCCAGTCTGGCGAGCAGTGGGCTCTTGCTTGGGCTGCCTAGCGCAATGCGCGTTCCTTTGGCCTTACCCGGCGTGAGCACCAGGCCGTCCTCCTCTTCGGTGCCGAAGACCTCGTGCTCGCCCGTGATGAGCCGGCGAGGAGTGCCGTCGAGCGTTCTTGGCGTCTTGGTTGGCGAGGTCGACTTGGGCGGCGTGGTGAGTTTGCGCTTCGACGGGCTCGATGGACCTGCAGACGCACCTGCCGCACTCGACGGCTTGGGCGATTTGGGCAGGAGGAGGAACATCTTTTTCGTGTCCGGGTCGGTGCGCACCGAGATTGGCGACATCTGTGTAGGTTCGAGGAGCGGCGAAAAGCGTGCCGAGCGGGAACCTGCACGCGGCGTAGTTGGTGGAGTACCGAGCAGACTCAGCGGTGCATGGTCGGTGGGTGGGGCAGAAGCACTCGAAGAAGCGCGCGAGGGGCTGGCCTGGAGAAGAGCTTGATTCTCGAGCATGATGCGGTCGACTTCGCCCTCGTCCGGCGTTCTGAGTCGTGTGCGAGTGTGTCTTTTTGCGGTCGACTTTTTCGGTGTCGTGGGTTTTGGCACAGACGGCGCTGCAGGCGAAGACGGAGCAGGCTCGTCAGATGCCGCAGGAGGCTCTGCGGCCGTGGATGCGGCGGTAGGCGGAGCGGCCTTGGCGGCATCCTTGGTCGACTTGGACTTGAGCGAGCGTGCGGTGCGACTGATGCTGGCTTTGGACGCCGCAAAGTGCGAGGCGATGCCCCTGTTGGGTGCCATGGTGGACGAAGCTTATGCGCCCGGCCCGCAGGCTGAAAGAGTCGATGTGAAGGAAGAGCCCGATCCTGCGGACTGTGATTAAGCGGAGAGACAGGCAGACTGTGCAGAGTCGTGCATCCGCAGCAATGAACGACGGCACTTTCTGTGAGAATGGGGCCGGTTGTGCTGGAGCCCTTTTCGCGGCGGCGATGGTGGTGGTGGTGGTGGGTGGAGCGGCGGTGGCGGACAGCGGTGTTCGACGCAGCGTAGAATCCCGCTCAACGCCTTCTGAACCCTGACAGGCAGAAAGCGAGATTTTTGTAGTGTGCGAATTTGGCGCCCTAACATGCTGAAAGTCCGCCTCCACCTCGGAAATCGCGCCCGGACCTCCTGCATGAATGACAGAAAGCCTTCTCGTTCAACGGAGTTAAGCTTGGCTTCTGACCACCACGTCTCTTACTCGATAGGACCTTCGTCCTATCCACGGCTACCGTCACACCGACCGCTAGACTATCAGACCGCTCGACGATCAGAATCGGTCACCATGGCTTCGGTGGCAACTGCACTCGCCGGGCGCACGTTTGAGGAGCTCATCCGCACCGAGGCGCCTACGCTCGCTGCGGGGGTGGGAGCGTTGGTCGACATGGCCATGTTCTGGAAAGCGGCTGGACAGCAACGTCACTTTGCCAGCAGCGACGAGTTTGACCGTCAGATGACGGATCGCTACTCGACCATCTATCCCGCCGTCCACTCGGAGCGTCTTCGGCCTGCCTCTACCCCGGAACCGACTCTTGCGGAACAGCATCTCGGCATGATCCTGCTTCTCGATCAATATCCACGCAACGCCTTTCGCGGATCGCCCAAGCAGTTTCAATCCGACCCCATCGCGCGCAAGTGGGCCGACATCGCCATCCAACACGGCTCGGACACAAAAGTCGATCCCGCACTCAGGTTGTTCTTCTACCTCCCCTACAGCCACTCGGAGAACATCGACGATCACAACAAAGCCGTCCAGCTCGGCGAGCAAGTCGGCGAACCCTTCCTCGGTTTTGCAAAGGAACACAGAGACGTCATCGCCAGATTCGGTAGATACTGCCACAGAAACAAAGTGCTAGGCAGGCAGACTACAGACGAAGAACGTCACTTTCTCGAAAACGATGCCCCCGCCTGGGCAAAGGTCTAGATTGCCAGCACAGTGGAATGCAAAGAGATGGATCCAGATTGAGTTCCCCCCCGACTGTGTCAACTGCATCACTATTGTACAACCATGATTGAGAAAGGTCAAAGTCATCCCGCCTTGGGGCCTGGACTCGGACTTGGCCCGCCCACGGCAGGCGACGATTCTGGCCCGCTCGGTCCCGGCGTTGCCGTTGCCTCTCGCGAACCCGCGCCGCCCGCCGCGGCCTTCTTCTTCTTCTTCTTGCCCTGCTGCGCCGCCAGCTTGTTGGCCATCTGGAGCAACTGCAGCTGGCCCGGCGTGAGCTTGGCCATCTGCTTGCCGCCGCTCGCTCCGCCCTCCTGCTGCTTTCGCAGCAGCGCAATCAGCGCCGCCGCCTCCGGATGCGCCGCCAGCGCAGACAGCGCCGAAAGCGGATCGTCGCCCTCGCCACCCGTCGCGCTCGTACCCGCCGCTGCTGCATTGGGCGTGCCAGACGTACTGGCCGTCGCAGATGCCGACGACGCGGGCTTGGCTGGCGTCGTTGCAGATTGTGGAGTAGCAGGCGCCGGGGTCGCCGCTTTGGTCGCTGGCGCTGGCGCTGGCGTGCTCGGCTTCGGCGCACCACCAGCACCGGCTGCCGAGGTTCGCAGCGGCGTGCTCGGCAGCACCGGCGTCTTGGCCGTCGCGCCAGCCGCTGCCGTCGTGGCCACAGCAGGATTGCTCTTGGCAGCTTCCTTGGAACCCGTCGCCGGCGCTACTGGCGCCTTGACACTTGGAGCTGGGCCGGATGCAGCCGCCGTGCTGGCCGAGGGTGTACCCTTGACGCCCGCTGCTGCACCATTGCTCTGCGCGCTCGTTGGAATCGAAGGCTTGACCGGCGATGGCAACACTGGCTTTGGCAGCAAAGGCGTACCCGCAACCGGTGGTCGGGGGAGCGAGGCTGTCGCCGCCACTGTACTCGGCCCGGCAGCCGCACTAGATGCAGGCCTCACTCCAGGCGCGTGCCCGTTCGCCGAGCCGGCCTGAGCGCCAGTTACACCAGGCGCCACCGTAGCAGCCTTGGCCGGAGCCGCAGTTGCAGCCGACGAAGCCTTGGCCGGGGTCGAGGCAGGTTTGGCAGCCGCCGCATCCACGTCCTTCTTCTGCGCCGCAGCTTGCTGCACCCGCATGCGTTCCTTCAGATGCGTCACCAGATAGGCCTGCAGCACCTGCAGCGCCTGCTGCGCACCCAGACCCTCGATCTGCGCCAGCTGCCCGGCGTTCAGATGGCCAAACACCTGCGGACTCAGGTAGAGCTTTCCGTCGTGGTGCACAATCGGCGGCGTCTCTAGCAGCGACTCGATCGTGCCCGGTGCCGCCTTGGGCTTGTCGGCCGCAGCGGCGGTCGCAGACGAAGGTGGCGTTCCGATGATAAGAGGGATCCGGATCGCTGGCAACGAGCCCGCAGCTGCGCCTCCAGCAGCCCCAGCAACGGCTGTGGCAGCAGCGCTGCCTCCCGAGGCTGTCTGCGAATCGGCACCGGGGATCGGGGCGCCACCCGACAGCAGGCTTCCGGCCGGTCCAGCATTGGCGGGCGCAGCGGGTGCTGCTGCCGCCGCCTTGGCCGCCTCCTCCTTCTGCTTGGCAAGGTTGGCGCGATGCTCTTCGGCGAGCTTGGAATCCGACATGGTGTAGAAGATGCCCTTGCCCGGTTCGTCGGACCTGCGCGGGATGCGCGTGAAGTCGCGCGACGAACCGATCGCATGACGGATGGAGCTCTGCCAGTCTCGACCCGTGTGCCGACCGTTGCGCTTGAACCAGATCCATCGGTTGGCGATCCACTCGTACACCTCCTGCAGCGTGAGTTTGCCGCCCCTCTTGGCACAATGGTCCGAGCGCAGCGCTTGCGAGATGAGCTCAATGTTGGACAGGTCCGGCTTGTCTTCGGGTCCAGGCGGTGGCTTGGGCGTTGCATGAGCTGGAGCCGCAGCAGCACCACCCGTCTTGTTTCCAGCATTGTTTCCAGCAGCAGCGTTGCTTGCCGCATTGTTTGCCGCATTGCTTGCCGGCGTCTGGCTCTGCTTGGCTGCATTGGCGAGGCTGGCTGCCGAGGCAATGATGCTCGCCGTAGTGGGCCACGTGGATGCGTCTGATCCCGAGGCATTGCTAATGGAAGTGCTCGGCGCCACGGTCGGTTGCGTACTCGTTGGTCCCGACGTGGGGAGCGATGACAACGCACCCGGGACGCCACCGTTACGTCCAGCGACTGCAGAAGGGATCATCGGCAGAGGGGATGCCATCTGGCCGACAGCGTGAGGCAAGACCGCAGCCTGGGGCTGGCCATAGTTTGGCATCGAGCCCGAGACCGCGTTGGCCGCAGCAATGATGGTGGAAGCCGCATTGGCCGAGCTTGGATCGTACGGCACGGAGGACGGATACATGCTCGTTGCGCTGTATGCGCCCGGGAACGCACCCACGGGCATCGACGCAGCGCCTGGACCGACGCCTGGCGTCGCGTTGGCGGGCTGACCCGGAGCCTCGGAAATGGCGGGGGTCTCGTCTGCGGCTGCTCCCTTCTTCTTCTTCGGCTTGGCCGCCTTTGGTTTGGCGGGCTTGGCCTTGGCTGCAGGTTTCGAAGCTGGCGTGGTAGCCTCTGCAGCCTTGGAGACTGCCTTGTTGGCTGTCGTGACGGCAGCTTTGGCAGACGTCGGCTTGGCTGCAGCGGATGTCTTTGAGGCAGTAGTTGCAGATGATGTCGTGTCTGCCGCTGCTGCTGCTGCGGATGTTGCTGCTGCCGGTGGCTTAGGCGTGGCGGGCTTGACATCGAGCATGACAACATCGTCATCGTCTGCGACGGCGCTCGCGACTGTGGTGGCGTCCTTCTTGGGGCTGGCAGATGCGCGTGAAGAAGCGTCGGCTCGGGCTTTCGCAGCCTTGGCACGCTTTGCGGCGTCGAGAGCCTCGATGCCGATGGGAGTTCCCACCTTGAGCGCAGGCTCTTCGTCTGCCACAGCGTCGCCGCGCTTCCTCTTGCGACCCGCGACGCCTGCACCCATGGCCCAGGCGGGCGTGGGAGACTCCTTCTTGATCGCGGCGTCTGGCGCATCTGCTGCCACATCATCATCGGAAGCCTCGCCCTGGTCTGGAGCCGCATTGGCCTTGCTGCCACGGGCCGCTTTGGCCTTCTGGGCGCCTTTGAGTCCCTTGACGCTTTTGCCAGGGCGCTTTGCGGCCGTGCCTGCTTTGCCTGTTGTTGGAGGAGGAGGCGTGGTGATTCCATCGTCCTGGTCTTCGTCTTCGCTGTGCTCCTCGCCCGCACTCGGTGTTCCGAGGCTGTCGCTGTCGTCGCCGCCGGGTCTGGAGTCGGGCAGGGGGCCTTTGGTGGGCATCTTGCCGCGGGTGAAACCTTTGCCCTTTCCTTTGCCCTTGCCAGCGGCTCTGTTGGCGAGAGCAGCGGCTGTGGTCTTTGCAGCCGGCTTCCCTCTGGCTTGCGCCTTGCCTTTGCCTTTTCTACCTGCATCTACTGCATCTGACTCCTCGACCATGGGCTCGTCCGCACCCGACTCGTCAGCGGAGTTGGCCGCTGCAGATGGCTTGCCCACTCTGGATTTGGGTTTGAGGACGAGTCTGCGCTTCGGCTTGTCGGCTTCCGCTTTGCTAGCGGAAGACTTTCTGCGGCCACTGGTCTTGTTCGCTGTAGCGACGTCCTCGCCGTCATAATCATCATCCTCTCCCTCCTGGCTGGACACGGAACTGGAAGAGTCTGCTTCTTCGTCGTCTTCCTGGTCATCGTCGTCCTGGTCGTCGGAACCGTCTTCGCTGCTGAGATCCGAGAGCGAGTCGGACTCGGAGTCGTGAGCGCGTTGGCTGTCGCCGTCGTCACTGTGGGCGGCTGCGCCGGGTGGAGGCGGGAGGACAAAGTAGAAGACGCGCTCTGCGATCTGGATCTTTGTGCGTTTGCCGAGCACGACGAGACCGCCCTTCTCGACCCAGACGTCATCGACGAATGCGCCGTTGCGCCCGACGACCATGAGCACGAACTGGCCATCGCCATGCTCGGGTTCGGCGCCAAGGCTAGCCTGGTAGAGATCGGACCCGGAAGTCGAATCGGTGCCGGCGAGGTGTGCGCCGTTGACACGGTTGAGGGAAGCAGGCGAAGTGATGCGGTAGGGAGCGACGTTCTGATGAGCGCTCGTAGCGCTGGAAGCACGGCTGTGGGCGGGGGTGCCGTTGAGGAAAGCGGTATTGGGTGGATGGATGGGGCCGGTGTAGTAAAAGATGCGTGCATGGAGCCTGGAGATGGATTTGAGCGGGCCGAGGTCGACATCGACATCGCCTTCGGTCTTGGATTCCGAGGTGATGTGCGCCTGAGAAAGGCCCGAGGCGGCATTGGGCAATTGAGGCGGTTGGGCGCCCGGGCGCTGGTTGGGCTGGAGCTGTCCGGGACGACGGCCGATGGTGACGTCGAGCGTCTGGATGTAGTAGGAGAAGCCGGGGAATTCGAGCTTGGCGTAGGCCTGGATGGGTCCCTGGTCCTCGCCGTCTTCGTCCTCGGGTTCGAGATCGTCAAAGGCGTCGTCGTCCCAGAGCATATCCTGGTGCGTGAGGGCCTCGTTGAGGTCGACGGCGCCTTGGAAGGCTTGTTGTGCGGCATTCAAGGCGGCCGGGTCGGTGGAGAAGGGCATGGCGGAAGAAGGGTCGAGGTTGAGGCCACCGGCATACGCATTTATGAGGTCCGTGGAGCTGCCGTTTTGTGCGGCCAGGTTGGAGAGATGAGACAAGAGGCCATTGCCCTCTGCGAGCGAAGCCAGCAGCTTGGCATCCTCCTCATTGAGCCCAGCAGTGGCTGCCTGAAGCGAAGCTGAGATGGAGTCGGAGTCGACGATAGCTGCGTTGTCGCCGAGCTGGGTGGGCTGAGGAGCGGCGGCATCCGTGACGAGCTGATTCAACTCGGCTGGGTTCGTCGTGGAGGCAGACGACGACGGTACGGCTGGAAGGGCGTCGAGTGTCTGCGCCGAGGTGGATGCGATGGGATGTGGATTCTCGATGCCCGGCGGCGATGGTGGTCTGCGCGTCGGCGACGGCTGCGGTGCCGGCGACTTTGCAGTGTCCGCCATGGTGGAGTGGTGCAGATGCCCCCTCTCGGCGGTAAGAGCTGTTGCGGATGGATTGCTAGGCCGAGTCACGGGCTACGACTAGATCAGGGAGACATGAGGGCTGTCGTGGTGCGTGCAAGTATGTCCGGGTGGGGCTGGCTATGAGAGAGGCCAGGGTGACATCTGGCGGCGTGCGGTCCGGGTGCAGTTCGATTCAGGGCGGTGTGATATTACGATGAGGATGGTGGTCCTGATCCAGATGTGGGCAGTGGATGCAAAGCGTCGTTGGTGATGGATGGAGTCAAGCTCGAGTGCTGAACGAGGATTCGCTCGGATGTGGAGTCGAGCCTGCAGATGCGTAGATGTGCCGATCCAAAGACAGCGGATGGATCCGAACGGTGAGCAGATAGCGTGGGCGATGCTGCGTCGATGAGGCGAGCGCCGGATGAAGCCGAGGATTGTGATATCGCGAGCGTGAGTCAGATGATGTGGTGGCGATGCAGATGTCGACGACGGCACTTCCGAATGGCCTCGATAGCCTGAAGCTCACCCTGACGCATCTGCCCGGCTGCACCAAACTCCCCGCCTCTCCATCCGCGTCGATTCATCATCGAGTTCCGAATTCCATGTTTTTTTT